GGAAAGTGGTTGGTAAAGTAGAGGGCTTGTTCCTCTAAAAGTGCTGCATTTTTTTAGTAGAGTGTGGCATTTCCTGGTGCTGAAGAAGGATGTTCCATTGTACGAAACATACCCTAGTATTTGGAAGATAAAAGAAAACCTACTAGTAGACTGTTGTTCATTTCTAAGATTTTGCAGTTTGTGAGTTTAGTCATTGAACCTAACCCTAGACTTCATCTTCTGTGTATGAGTTTTTAAAATGTCTTGTTGCTTTCCCCCCAATCATAAAAATTATAAAATATATCTGTGTAAGGGCTGGAGCGATAGCACAGCAGGTAGGGCGTTTGCCTTGCACAGAGATGATACCGCCTAGCCGGATTCGATTCCTCCAACCCTCTTGGAGAGCCCGGCAAGCTACTGAGAGTATCCCACCCTCAAGGCAAAGCCTGGCAAGCTACACATGATGTATTCAATATGCCAAACACAGTAACAACAAGTCTCACAATAGAGATTTTACTGGGCCCACTGGAGCAAATCAATGTACAATGGGAGGACATTGCTACAGTGCTTACTAAACCATCCGTGCATCTATGAGATTTACCCCACTCAGTCAAGATGTATGATCCTTTTAATAACTTATTAGATTTAGTTCTCTAAGATGATTTGAGATCTTTGTAAAAGTGTTCGTCGGGCCTCCCAACCTGAAAATGTTTTTTTAATTGCTATCTCTGCCTCCTTCGATATTTCATAATGTTGGCTTCATAGAAGATATTAGAAGTGTTCCCATTTCTTCAATATTTTGGAGGAGCTTCAGGTATACAGATAAGAAGTCCTCTCTAATGTTTCAATAGAATTCAATAATAAAACCGCATACCTGAGCTTTTGTTTGGAGGAAGATTTTTAATTATTGTATTATTTCCATTATATCTGATTTATCAGCTAAGGTTTTTTGATCTTATATAGTCTTGGAAGATTTATGATTCTAAAACTATGAACATTTCTTCTAACTTAGAAAAATCTCTATTACAAAGTGGTAGCAATTAAAACAGCATGGTATTGGAATAAAGAGAGACCCTCAGATCAATGGAATAGACTTGAATATCCTGAGATACATCCTCAGGTATTTGATTAGATAATCTTTGATGAAGAAGGAAAAACTATGAAGTGGATCAAGGATAGACTCTTCAACAAGTGGTTTTAATAAAAATAGTCAGCTACATGCAAAAATAAAGAAATTAAAAAAACACAGACATCTTCTAGCACCATGCACAAAATCAAATCATAATGGATTAAAAACTTTCATATCAGACCTGAATCCATAAGGTACATAGGCAGAATTTTCCATGACAGTGAAGCTAAAGGCACTTCCAAAGAAGAAATCCACTGACCAAGGAAGCAAAAGCACAAATTTTTGGTGTGCTTCAGGATGGCATTGCATTTTACTAAGAAGCTTTTGCACCTCAAAAGAAACAATAACCAGGATACAAAGACAGCCCACAAAATGGGAAAAATTATTTACCTAACAGTCAGCCAATAAGGGGTGTGTGTGTGAATTATATATATATACACATATATGTATATACATAATATATACATGTAGATATATATATAATAGTGCTATACATATCGGTTATGTTATATAAATATATATCAATCAGTATTTTATATATATATAATTATGCAGTCACCAGGAAAAATAAAGTCATGAAATTTGTTTATACATGGATGACTATGGAGAGTATCATGCTGAATGAAATCAGTCAGAGAAAGAGGAAAAAACACAGAATTATTGCAGTCAGTAGTGGGGCAAAAAAACAAAAACAAAGACATGGTATGTGACTACTACTCAAAGACAACTTAAACAAGGGCCAGAAGGACTGGTCCATGGAAGGAAGCTTGTTAGGAATGGGGAGGGAGAATGCAGTTAGAACACAGAAGGGGCCAACATGACAATGAAAATGTCACTCTGGACAAATGATCACTCTGACAAAATATGAGTGCTGAAAGGAAGTAAATGATATGGGTGATACGCTTTCAGTAAAATTATTGCAAACCCCAGTGTCTAAAAGGAAAGCAAGAGAGAAAGAGAAAGAGAAAGAGAAAGAGAAAGAGAAAGAGAAAGAGAAAGAGAAAGAGAAAGAGAAAGAGAAAAAGAAAGAGAAAGAGAAGTGTTTGCCTTAGAGGCATGCTTCTTGGGCAGGTGTCGGGGGCCAGAAGGGAAACTGGGGATACTGATGCTAAGAAATGTGCACTGGAAAAGGAATGGCTGTTGAAACAATGAATGACTGAAACTCGATCATGAACTTTGTAACTCATGGTGATTCAATTAAAATTTATAAAGATTAAAAATATAGTATTTTAAAGTCTGTATGTGCATCATAATCATCACCTAAAAAGATGTATAAAAATCTAGAAATGTCAGACTGGGAGGAAGGGGGCATGAGAAGGGCAGGAAAAAACTGTGATAACACTGGTTGACAGAAATTGGCACTTGTGGTGGAATTGTTACATTATATGCTTAAACTCAACTATCAGTAACTTTGTAACCAAGATTCTTTAAATAAATTCTTTTTAAATCTAAAGATGCCTGCCTGGGTCTCCCACTCACAGATTCTGATTCTTATATAAGTTTGTAGAATGGAAATCTAAGAAACTTGATTCTTTTTACAGAGTCTACGGGTAGTTCTCATGTTGGTAAATACACAGGCTTTGTGACTTCTGAAATATACAATCTGTTCTTCTTAAAAGAAAAAGGGGCTGAGGCCAGAGAGGTAGCAAGATGTGGGTAGAAAGATGACATGGGTTTGATCCCTCGTACCCCATATGGTCCCCAAGAACCACCAGAGGTGATTCCTAAGCCTTGTGCACCGCCAAGTGTGGCCCAAAGTAAATGAAACAACAAAAATAGTTGCTCAAGAAAGTATACAGCACCTAATGGGCTTGCTCTGCACACAGCTGAACTGGGTTCAACCTCCAGCATTAACCTGAGTCAAATCAGAAGAAATTCCCAAGTGTAGAGCCCCAAGGAAGAAGCCTTCAGCAGAGTTGAGGGTGGTTCAAAACTCACTCCAATAAAAAAAAAAGACGGGGAAGGGAAGAGAAAGGAAGGAAAAAAAGAAGGAAGGAAGGGAAGGAGGGAAGGAAATTTGAAATCTAGATTTTTACATATCTCCTAATTTTTTAAAGTTAGCTCATTTTCTTTGTTTCTGATTTTGGGGACACACCTGGATATGCTCGGGTCTTACTCCCTCTGGTCCCCCACCACTCTATATTATATCACGGTATATCACGGTCCTCCCGTTGTTCATCGATTTGCTCGAGCGGGCCCAGTAACGTCTCCATCATGAGACTTGTTACTGTGTTTGGCATATGGAATACGTCACGGGTAGCTTGCCAGGCTCTGCCGTGAGGGCGAGATACTCTCGGTAGCTTGCCGGGCTCTCCGAGAGGGTCAGAGAAATCGAACTCGGGTCGGTCATGTTGGCTACTTATAAGGCAAACGCCCGACCACTGTGCTATCACTCCAGCCCACCACTCTACATTAAAATTAATAATTGTTTGGCTTCCTCACACTATAAACAAAAAATAACCAAAATCTGAAAACGGATCACAGAATTGAGAACAATAAAACTTAGAAGAGTGAATCTTTTTGGCCTCGGATTAGACAATAGTTACTTATGCTATGATGTCAAAAGCACAAACAAGCACAAGAAGAAAGAATAGTTAAAACAGACTTGATAAAAACAATTTAAAACTTTTGTTCTAGTACTGTCAGGCTCACAGAGTGGAGTAAGAATTTATACCTGGAGGGCAATCTAAGTCCCACCACACCAACTGAACCATGGAAACACAAATTTAGTCAAAGGATAAAAAGACATTTCTCCGAGGATGTAAACAGCCCATTAGGTTATGAAAAAAAAATGTGCATAATCATTTGTCATGAAGAAAATTCAAAACAAAATGAGAAATGACTCCACTTCCACTAAGATGGCTACAGCCTAATATAAAATAATATTCACAACATCATGAAGAAATTAAAACTGTCATATATTGCTGGTAGAGGAGCCCACAAAATGAACTATATGATGTACATGTAGAAAAATAAAGACATACATTTCTAAAGAAAATAAAGACATACATCTCTACAGAAACCTGTGCATAAAAGCATTATTGCACAGAGCCAGTAACAGCTACTGGAACATTACATAATGGAAATCCAATCATAAAAAACTTTTGTAATTGTGTATCTCATGATGATACAATAAGAGAGAGTAAGAGAGAGAAAGAAAGAACTTTGGAACAGCATAGAGGCTTTTAACACTGGTGGTAAGCATGGTGAAGCAGCATTGCATGTAAAAATGTGTACTATTATTGAAAGCACTGTAAAGCATATTATATCAATTAAAAATAAATTTTTAAGTAGAAATTGTACTTCTTCAAGTCAACATCAAAGATTTGAAATCTAATAGTGATTATTATAGTAATAACAGTAGCAAAAAATATTATATTTTACAAGCCATACAAGTACTTATGAAATGTTTATGTCAATATACTTAATCTTCAAGAGTTATGAGACATATTATTATTAAAAATCCAATCTAAAGATGAGAAAACCAAGACCCAAGAAAACAGGATTAAGTTAGTCATATATCTCATAAGTTACAAGTCCAAAATTCAAACCCAGGAAATTGGAAGACCAAGCCTAGGTCTGTAAGCAGTATTCTTATCCTGCAACTCTCTGTAATATCAATATATAACTTCAAAGGGAAGCCAATACGTCCTTTATCTTTATTAATAGAATATTATTTTTCCTACCTTTGTGAAATCTGTTAAATATAATTACCCAATTACCCATCAGAAAAATCCCTCTAAAATGAACTCAGAAATACAAGATGTGACTCAGACAGTTCTAGAAAATGTCAAGTCAGCTCTTGCTTTGAAAAATACTCAGCTGTAGAGATAGAAAATTTAAGTGGCACTTTAATATGATTTCCAAAAGACAAACATAGGGAAATACTTACTATTATCTGGAGTTATCTCTTCAGATCTACCAAATAAAAATTCATATTTGGCTTTAGCAACACTCTGGGAATGTGCTGATGCATGGCTAACCCATAAAAAAGTCTCTGCCTGCAAAATTAGAAGAAAACAAAGATATTGTTAAAAATATACCATAAAGCAAAACATCAATATAATAGATAAGCAGTGATAACATAGTTACTGCATAGAATACTATAAAAGCATTAAAAAATGAAGCATAGGGGCCTGAGAGATAGTATAGTAGATAAGACATTTACATTGCACTTGACTAACCTAACACCCAGGAGTGATCCTTGAGTCTGCCAGGAGTAAACCCTGAGCACCTCCAGGTGTTAACCAAACATCCAAAATAATAAGAACAACAATTATCAAAAATAAAATGAATCTAAGAACATAGGATAATTATTGCAGCTTACAATATAAAAACAAAACATGAAATCTATAGGAAATAACAAAAACACAAATCCTTGGTTTGATTAGAGATTATGATGGGTTTTTTCTTTGATTTGTTTTTTTGTTATTTTTGTTTGGGGGCAATACCCAGCGATGTTCAGAGGTTACTCCTGGTTCTGACCTCAGGAATTAATCCTGGCAGTGCTCAGGGGACCATATGGAAGCTGGGACTTGAATCCAGGTCAGCGGTTTACAAGGCAAGCACCCTGTCTGATATACAGTCTCTCTACCGGTGCACTATGGTGGGTTTTTTCAATTAAGTTTATCTCACTTTTCTACAACTGGAAAACTTTATTTTATATTTAAATATATTACCTTCCAGACAACTGTCATTACCCAAAACTCCTGGGAAAAATATTGCAATGTTCAGCTAAAATATGCCAAGGAAAAGGGCCTTTCCCCAAAAGAGACCACAATTGTATATAATCAGGAATCACATTTCACCAAAAAGGATTCAAAAAATAGTACAAGTAATCCATTTATATTAATTGTCCTAAATTTAAATATCTGTCCCAACATCTCAAGGAATCCCTAAATGTTTCTTATTTCAAATAAAACCTATAAAAGTAATCTTTCTACCAAAATATTCAGCAATGCCTCCTTTCTGAACCAACAGTAATTAGTAGCAAATGAAAATAGAAATTTCCCTTTGTACAATCAGAGAGATATGCTTTTGGCTCTTCACCCTAAATTTAAAAATTAACCAGGATTCAGATATAAACCACACTATTTCCAACCTCTAATTATGAGACATGATCTTGCCTCATGACTGAGCAGTGATTCTGTTTACAGGAGAGAGCATGATGGGTTTTGGCAGCTACAAGGCAACTACTTCAAAGAGGAAAAGTTTATGACTTCTATTACATCCTATAGAGAAGCAATACTGGCAGTACTGAGGAGCAATCATGGTATGATTTATTCCACCAAACCTCTGTAGACTGGTTGAGTGAGCAGGTCTTTGTTCTTCTGTAACAACATCAAAGAGGCAGTCTGTACAATTTTAAAACACCAGTTTCTTAAAATAGCTAGAATCATTTAATGTTACGAAAAGAAAAAATGTCTTTTGCTTAATAGCCAAAAGTTATTGATCACACTTGTTACCAACAGAGAGGGTGTATTAATTTCTTAATGTATTTAGGAAGCTTCAGGATAATAAAAGATAAACTTGCATCCAATTTAGGCAGGGCTCTAGGAAAGATTTCCCTGAGAAAATTATACCCGCATATAATTTCTGTGAAGAAACTAAAGAAAGAAACATCCATCTAAGCAGAGGAAGGTCATAAAAAACATGAAAACATAAAAACATAAAAATTGTTTTAATATATGGAATGACTAGGTTATTTAAATAACTGAAAGAAGGCTAATATGGTCACAATACAGTGGTGAATGAGCAAATTTAGAGAGAAATCAGGAGGAAGAAGGAACAATGGAAGGGAGACAGCTGCCAAGACAAGAAAAGGATTAATAGAAAGTCACTAAAATGGTCTCAAAAGACAGTAATTTATTAAAATCTTTAAAGCTATATAGTTGTTATAGAGAAATAAATATAAAGGAGGAATATCCAAATGAGAGAGTATTCAAGTTTAGATTGCTGTGAATGGTAATATGTAGAAGCAGGTTAAATTGAAATACATACTGTAGGAAGAATCTATACTTTTTTTTTTACAAACTGATTTAAGGGATAAAAAAACTGGGTAATTACAATTATTTCCAGGACAGGAATTGTTTCAACAAATATTGTGTTTATTGCTCAGAGCAATCTATGAGATAGGAACTGCTATCATTCTAGGCTGTCAGGTTAAGAAAAAAAATGAAGAAACATGCAAGTAATTTTCCCAAAATTATACAACTATTAAATTATGAATCCTATATTCAAAGTGGACTGGAGCAATAGCACAGCAGGTAGGGCATTTGCCTTGCACACGGCAGACCGAGCCGACCCGGGTCTGATTCCTCCATCCCTCTCGGAGAGCCCGGCAAGCTACGTAGAGTAGTTCGCCCGCATGGCAAAGCCTAGAAAGCTACCTGTGATGTATTGGATATGCCAAACACAGTAACAAGTCTCACAATGGAGACGTTACTGGGTCCGCTTGAGCAAATTGATGAACAATGGCAGGACAGTGCTACAGTGCTACATATTCAAAGTAAAATCTGAAACCCATGACCAGAGGATCACTCCCAGCAATCCAACTTGAATAACTAGCTAAAGTAAATGAGATAAGCACAACTGGAGAGGCAATATTCTTAATATTGTTTTTCATCATAGCAACTTTTATGTCAAAATATTTCTCCAAATGGGCAGGTGCAAGTATTACTTGAAGCTGTACTGTAACATTGTGTATGAAGTTAGAGAATTTTCACTCCCCTTAAGCTGAAATTTAGTGGTTATTTCAATATAACCCCATATGGCACTTCAATATAACAAAAAATATGGCATTATTTTAAGTAAAGTAAAGTAAAGGCCCTCCCGTTGATCATTGATTTGTTCGAGCGGGCCCAGTAATGTCTCCATTGGAGACTTTGTTGTTACTGTGTCTGGCATATCGAATACGTCACAGGGAGCTTGCCAGGCTCTGCTGTGCGGGCGAGATACTCTCGGTAGCTTGCCGGGCTCTCCGAGAGGGGCGGAGGAATCGAACTCGGGTCGGCCATGTTGGCTGCGTGCAAGGCAAATGCCCTACCACTGTGCTATCGCTCAAGTAAATAAAAGTTTATTAGAATAAAAATTAGTCATTTACACAATTCAATACTACACAGCCACCAGGGAAAAATGAAGTCATGAAATTTGCTTATAAATGGATGGACACAGAGAGTATCATGCTGAGTGAGTCAGAAGGAGAGGGACAGACATGGAATGATTGCTCTCACTTTTGGGTTATAAAAAGTCATAGTATCAGACTAATACTCAAGGACTTTAGAAACAAGGCCAAGAGGATTAACCATATTGGAAGCTTGCCTCAAGTGCTAGGAGAAGGCAGATTTGTTTCCTATTGCCTGAACCCCACCAAATATGGTGTGGTAATTATGGAAAATGGGCAGGGAGTGTCTTATGATATGTCTGGAAAGCAGCCCGGAGCATGGCAATGGTTGGGTAGTTGAGGTTGGCTGCCAGGACTGGGTCTTTTGGTACGGGGAGCACTCTCACCTGACCCCCTCTGGAGCACCCAGAGTGAAAACAGCCTGGTGCAGAGTCGGGTGGCATGGATATGGGAGCCTCATTTTATGCTCCCTTTCAGGAGAAGCAGCCATGAGTTCTGGAGGGTGGCCAATGAGGAGATTATCTGGCACCCACAGGAGGTGGCTTATGGGTGTGACCCCTAGGTCATTAAAGACTGGGGGAAGCAGGCAGAGGATCTCTGCTCCTGAGTCCCATTGAGCCTAGAGTCCAAGGTCACAAAGTTCCATATTACCTGGGTTCCATGGGACTTCGTTCATACATTTAGCTTGCCTGAGAATTTCTGCTACACAACATAAACAAGATAAAACAAGAAATGTGGAGAGGAGGAATAAAGAAGTCAGGTGGATGAATGTTCAGTATCAATATTTCAAAGAGAAATAATTTATTAATTCTAAAAGTGGGGAGATAGCCTACCCCAGCCACGTACTTACAGAAGCCCTGGCAGCCATACCCACAATGACTGCCATGTGAGCTCATTTTTTGGCCCAGCTTTACAGGCTCATAATTAAATCACAGAAGAAATCAACTAGTGGCAACAACTCACTGGTACACCAGTCTCCAAGCTGAAAACTCTGGAGCACCCTCAGAATGGAAGCCGGCTGAGTCCTCACTCTGCCAAAGCTCCAACAGCTGCATCCAAACCAATGGTCCTACACCACTACCTCACCACTGAGCTCTGCAGAGATGCTAAACTGTGGAAACCTCAGGTATACCACTCTCCAGGTTCAGAACTTTGGGATCTTCTCAGAACTGGGGAGAGCAGCCTCCACCCTACCCCAATACTTCCAGAAGTCCCAGCAGCCACACTCACATTCCAAAACTGCCATCATGTATACTCACTGCCCAGTTAAAAATTCAGGAGTTCCTGGAGCATCCTGCCACATGACAACTCCAAATTCTAAAAAACTAACATCTAGTAGGAGGACAGCAACTTAGATGGGAAAGTGACATAGAAATCAGCTAACAATAAGCAAAACATTAACACAGAAGGCTCAATTAGCAACAACAGCTTAGTAAATACTCAGATAAGGGCTTAATGACATATATATGTTATACATATATGTATATATACATATATGCATACACATATGGAGAGAGATGGTGAGATACAACAATTTTCAGTTTCTTTTATAGAATTGTTTCAATTGCATCAAACATTCAATTATAACAAGTAATATCACTGTCACTGTCATCCCGTTGGTCTTCAAATTACTCAAGCAGGCACCAGTAATGTCTCTATTCCTCCCAGCCCTGAGATTTTATCAGCCTTTTCTCACTCGTCTTTTCCCAACGATTGGAGGTTCTTTCAGGGTCAGGGGAATGAGACCTATTGCTGTTACTGTATTTGGCATATCGAAAAGAGTGGACATGGACAGAATTGACAGATTGATAGTTCTTTTCGATTCCATAGGTGGTGGTGCATGACTGTTCTTAGTTGGTGGAATAATTTGTCTGGTTA